TCTGATTGTGCAGTGTTGAATAAATAGGTTTAAGCATTTTTGTAAAAATTCGGGAGGCAGGTATATTTAAATAGGCAACCCTTGAATTCAAATTTCAAAACTTTTTGGTGGTCCTTGTGTACAGSTACTGTATAGTACGCGTCTTTTAAATCCACAGACGTCATGTAGCAACCTGGTTTAACCATTTTCACCACAGTATCAAGCGTATCCATCTTAAAGTGATGGTACTCCACTGATTGATTAAATTCTTTTAAATTTAGAATCATGCGGAATGACCCATCCGGTTTAGGTCTGAGAAAAATTGTAGATATAGATTCTCCGGGTTCATGAAATGACCGTTGAATTTCCCCCTTTAAGAGGAGCGTTGTGATTTCTTGTCGAACAATTTGTTCCTCTTGGGAGTTAAACACGCTGGGCCGATAACACGTTTGTACTGGCCCAATATTTTCTTCAAATGAGATTTTTACCCGGAGACATAACTAAGTATGTTTGAGTCGCTTGTCATCTCACGCCAGCTAAGCATAAACTCTCGAAGTTTGCCTGCTTTAAAGGTCGTGAGGTCATGTATAAATTTATAAACGTCAATTGAGCTTACCTCAGTGACACTAGCTATTGTTTGTTTGTGCTCCCCTCTTTTTTCCTGTTGCGAGGAGAGCTGACCCTGGATAAAAAATCACTCTTTCCACGGTAAGGAACGTAACGGTTGTTCCCATAGCTTTTCTTGCCATGAAAGCGTTTGTCACGCTTGTAGCTGGACTGCGTGGAGGATTAGGGGCGGACTTTCTTTGTAAGTCGGTTAGCATCTGTGATATCTTTCGCTAACTTTGAGAGGTCTCCGAAGAGATACTCTGATGTTTGATCAACCGGTGAACTATTGCACAATGCAGCGTAATCCTTATTAAGATTATTTTTCATCGCTCGGCGGCGAGCGGAATTCAGCTTGATCAATTCAACAGCTTGATCAATTCGTTGTTATCCTTTAGCGAGGAATTTAGGATCATGTCTGCGATTTTGGGGTTTTGGAATCGTTTGTCCTGGATTGAGCTGATATTTGATTCCAGATGAGAGGATTCACACGCGGTGTTCTTAATCCAGTCACGTTTTGTGGTTTTGGGTAGAGATCAACTTTCATCTGGATTTTCTCCTCCGGCAATTTCTCTTTCAGTAGAGAATTTACAATGCCTGCCAGATCTTCGCTGGCAGCTGGGCCAGTTTTCTCACTGGCGTCTAGGTCTCGAGCTATATCATCGAGAATACTCGGTTCTTTCTGCGAGTTGGCTGTCAAACTTGCCACTCGCTCGTCAAGTGACTCGGTGTCGTTTGACTCGTTGTGATCCTACTCTGAGGATTCATCTTCTTCGAGCTCAACAGGCTCGCTAATGCTGAGAATGTTTTCATTCATCTTTTTCATTTGTTCAAGAAGGGCAGCGAACATTGTGCCCGTATCTGGTGTGTCTGAGGGACCTGGAGCGTGAAGGCGGCGATCTTCGTTGTCTTCATGTCCTCGCTTGGCGTCCCCCATGTTTTGGCGGGAAAACTTGTATTCCCTTGTTTTACCTCGACTACGTCGAGTAAAGAGTATGAAACTTTGTTTTGTAGTAAGCTGTCAACCACGTTGACAGATTATATAGCGTATCTTTGGTCTACCACGTAAACCTACRCAAATTTATCCAAAATAACGATCTATCACAAAGATATACGTGAAGTCTTGTCGATGCAAGCTATGCAATGGTCTATGCTGTGCTATCTCATGGGATCTCCCACTCTGGTAGTCATGTGATAGAATCCTTTGTGTGTGTTTATCGTGGTGAATTTCWTCGACCCATCATCCAGTGACAGTTGTTGATAGGCTTGTGACATATCAAGCTTTGTAAACTTGTTCCCTCCGCCTAGCGTTGCTAAAAGATCTTCGGTTTTCTAGCTTTGATGCCTGATTAACTGTGCATTTGTAGTCGACACAAACGCGTACTGATCCATTAGGTTTCAATACCGGTACAATRGGTGCGGCCCATTCGCTGAATTCCACTGGAGATAAGATTCCTTCGTCAACTAGACCGTCTAAGTCACGCTCTAGTTTGTCCTTTAATGCGTATGGTACGGGGCGGGCCTTGCAATCAAATACTTTGGTTTTGCATTTGACTCAACGTAAATTTTAGCCTCCGTTCCCTTTAGTGTCCCAAGTCCTTCTTTGAAGACAGCACTATGTGACTCGACATTTGGTCGAGTTTGCTGATATTGTTTACTTTGACCTTGAATATCTTGTCCCAATTCAAGTTGAGTAACCAGCTACGTCCAAGCAAATTCGGTCCTTGTCCTTTCACTACTAAAGCCGACAGTTCTTTACTCTGTCCCTCGTAGTTGACTGGAAGTGTCACTTTTCCCATGACTTGAATTTGTTCCCCTGTATATGTACTAAGGGAAGCATTAGACTTTGCAATTTTAACAATGTCACTAAATTCATTGTACGTAACTTCGTTTATGACAGTTTTTGTCGCACCAGTGTCGATTTCCATTTCATGTGGTTTCCCACTTAGTTCAATATTGACCGTCCAAGCCTTAGTAGCCTTTTCCTCGTCTCCCTTTAAGTTGTACAAGGCATACTCTTGACACTCTTCGGCTTCGGCGAGTAGATGGGTTGAACCGCGACTCTGTCTCGGCCTTTCGTTCCTGACAGGCCCCTTGTCATTAGTTTTCTTTGGGCTGCGACACATTTTGTCTAGGTGTCCCTTTTCACAATTGTAACATTTCGCCTCTTTAAAACGGCACTGCTCGGGCTTATGCTTCCCGCCACAACGGTAGCATTGCTTGGGTGTAGCTTGAAGGTTAACAGGATTGTTAACGCGGTSTAACGTTGCTTTTTGTTCCTTGACGTTTAATTGCATCTGTGTTTAGATCCAGTGTATTTTTCGACGCTGACTCTATTGCTAAAGCTAGATCTACAGCTCGTTTGTAGGTGAGCTTGGGCCCTTGTCGTCTTTAATTCCGCACACAAATCTGTCTCTCMTCATATCTTCCAAAGTGTCGCCGAACTTGCAGTGTTCAGTTAGTTTTCTAAGTCCAGCTATAAAATCCGCTACACTTTCCCCTTCAGTTTGTTTTTTGTTGTGAAACTTGAATCGCTCTACGATCTCGCTTGGTCGTGGGGCATAATGGTTTTTGATCTCTTCGAGAATTGTTTTCAAGGACACTTCTCCTGGCTTTTATGGTTGCAACAAATTCCTTATGAGTGTATATTGTAATAACGTGAAGAGCTCAT